CTCCCCTATACCATCATGAATACTGGCTTCTGAACTGTGTGATGATAACAAGCCTGATGGTCTTTAGCCTGGAGGAAACAGTGTCCATAATTTCTAAAAATGATTTCAATAATTTCAATAATTTCAAATGTTGATTTATCAGACCACAGGACACTTTTAAATGAGCTTGGGCCCAGAGAAGGCGGCAGCATTTCTCAATCCTGTTCACGTACAGTTTCTTCTCTGTGTTTTAGAGTTTTAACTTGCATTTGTGGATGCAGCGACAAGCTGTTTTCACAGACAGCGGTTTTTAGAAGTGTTCCTGAGCCCATGCAGCGATTTCCACTACAGAATCATGTATGTTTTTAATGCCCAAAGATCGCGGCCAGGAAATACTGGTTTTCAGCCTTGTCCCTTGCATACAAAAATACCTCTTGATTCTGTGAATCTTTTAATGATATTATGTACCATAGACGATGAAATCCCCAAGTATTTTGCTATTTTACACTGAGAGACGTTATTCCTGAACTGTTGTTCTATTTGCCCACACAGTATTTCACAGAGTGGTGAACCCCACCCCATCTTTACTTCTGAAAGACTCAGCTTCTCTGGGATGCTCTTTTTATACCCAATCATGTTACTGACCCGTTGTCAGTCAACGACCAGGTGTTTTTTTTTCAGCCTTACACACCTTTAGCAGCCTTTTGTTGCCCCGTCCCAAAAAGAGCATATATTTTTCAAACAACAAGAAAATATAGGGTTTAAATGATCTGCACATCATTGCATTTTGTTATGATTTACATTTTGCACAGCATCCCAAAGTTTTTTGGAAATGGGGTTGTAAATGTACATAATAACAAAAATATGTCCACATATGTCCACATTTAAATTTCTTGTTAGGAAATGTTGTTATTGTTAGGAAATTGCTGTTATTTCTAGTTTGCTGGCTGGATGTCTGGACTCCAGAGGGTGGTATCTCTGAAGGGGGAGTTTAAAAGGCTGAAAGCAGGCATGCTTCTTCTCTCTTGTGGGGTAGTGTATGAGAAATCTTCTTTAAATAATCAGCCTGAGACCACCGATGTCTTTGAAGCTTTTATTCTTGCAGCAAGGGAGCAGTTACACACAGAGTCAAGTCTAGAATGTAATGCTCAAAGCACTTTGGGTCATGCCCTGTCCTATACCTTCAGAGATGTACGTTTCACCCTTACACAGTTGGACCACACCCAGCTTCAGTTATCTTTATCTGATATATCCTGTTTCTTCAAGTTAACCTAAAGGTCAAGTTCCGCTTTTTGTACGAGTGCTGTCACACTTATTGTTTAAAGGAGAGCACTTTATCAGACCTCAGGTGCATGCAGAGCACTCTGTCTGAACTCCTTTACATACAGAGAGACTGTCTAAACATGACCTTATATGGTTATTTAAATCATTAGTATAGAGTATAATACTGATTTTTCTGACAGGTAGGCAATGTGAGTTGTGAGAGTTACAAACTACAGAGAAACTTGATCATATACAGTAACTGTCAGCTATAGATGCTACTTCAAAGTAACCTATTTGCTACTTTACATTTTTAAAGATAATGGCACTTATAAAACCATTAAAAAAATAACTAATTAACACCTTTTTAAAAGTCTTAAATCGACTGCGTAAACAAACATTTAGACAATTAAATTCTGGTTGATTACTTCTTTAACAAACAAAATATGTCATAATTTTGATAGTAGGTGCTGTAGAGTCATGCAAACAGACATAATAATATACTGATGTGCATAAAGCAGAATATTAAACTGTAAATACTGAAGTAGAGTTTTCATTTCAGCCACCAAGTGCTGCACAGCTGCTCTTTCCATCCCACAGACTGAGAGTCCCACAACGACGGAGTAAAACTTCTTACAGTGACAGTACAGCATTAAACAGAGTTTCAAGATAAACAGCTCCTCAGTGCAAATACCAAATACACAGAACACAACAAAAAGCTCCTTCAACAGTTTTCAACAGGATTTCAACCTCCTAACATGATTTACATTCTCAGTGCTTTATTTACTGATGTTAAGTGGACATTGCAGTGGACATACCGATAATGTAAAAGAGCTCTCTTCTATCTAGACATCATTGAAATGATTGGACACAGTGAAGGTGTTGAAGTGAGCTGGTTGTAAACTGAATGTGAGGTTTGTGATGAACTCTCAGTGTAAGGCGTGTTGGAGCCGCTGAGGGAAACTGATAGAGCTGCAGGCTGTAGCAGCAATAACAGAGTGGATGAGCTGTACAGGGACAAGAGAGTTTACAGTACTTTGAAAGAGTAGTGATGGCTGAATACTGAATACACTGTTCTAAATGTACTCAGTAACATATTCAGTTACAGCACATTAAAAAGTAATATTCAGAACACATTTAGAATACATCTCGATAAGGCACATGGGAAAAACTCTGCTTTTATACATTTTTACTTACTAATTCCAGAATTCGTAATGGTTTTTCACTAAACCCCAACCCTATTTACAGATATAAGGATTCAGCATAACTGGGATAATGAAAAAAGATCAGCACACACAGTACGATCTGCTGTCGCTCTCTAGAGGCCGGGTGAGTTTTGTGACTGAAATATGAAATCAACACATCATGATGAGGATGGAGATCCATGATGTTTAATTATAATCATGTATAACATTACACACAGAGTCCAAACACACATCCCGCAGCACATTATGAACACATTTCTGCAGTTAATTAGTCCAGGGGTGTCCAGTTTTATCCTCAGATGGCCGGTATGGCTGCAGGTTTTCATTACAAATGAACTGAAGCTCCTGATTCTATTTGTTTGTTCAATTAATCTCAATCACACAAATGATCATATGTGCACTCCTGCTTTATTGGAATGAAAACCAGCAGCCACACTGGATAGACTGGATACTGCATACTCCACCACTTTGGTTCATTTTTTAGTAATTTGTGTTGATTTTATTTGCAGTGTTTCATTATTATTTTCTTCCACAAACATTAATTCACAGAAGTCATTTATGAGCTCAAAGATGAAGTTTATGTTGCTTTAAACTGAGTGGAAACAGTGTCTTTATCATCATTATCATCATTAGTGACTATGGAGTTCTGTTGTGTGAGATGCTGAAGTTTCAGTGATTTAGTTCATTTTCAGCTTCATACTGTAGTGATGCTGTACAATATATATGCTAAAATCATCACAGTATTCAACAATTTTACTACTAAAAATGTGCATATTAGAGAAAATAATTTGTTTTATTTCTTAGCATTCACTAAAATTTTTTAAAAAAATAAACAATTTCATATACATTATACCTATAATGCAGATTATAAACCGTCTTTAATCTAGCACTCCAGGCTCTCTCTCTTCTTCTCTGTGTGATTCTCCCTGAACAGCTGATATCTACATGCTCCATGTAATGCAGCAGCAACAGGAGCTGCTCACAGAACCTCCGTTTCTAACGTGCTGCTTCACATTCTCTGCAGTCCTAAGAGCTCATCTTGAATCAGTGATTAAAGACAGTAAGTGAAGCAGTCTGATCTCTGCTATCTCTGTTCTTCCCTTCACACAGTGATCTGATCAGAGTGGAAAGAACTAAAGCTAATTACGCTCTACTCTTCACTCTGATGACTGACAGTAATTACTGGGTGATCAGGCTGCCAGAAACTGAGGAGAACTACATTTGAAAGTATCTAAGACTATGTAGGTTTGTGAACTACACTTGTATGCAAGTTAAGATTAAGAAATTAAGAAATGAGGGCTAGGAAGACACACATTAAGAAACCAGGAGTTCATATGATTTTGCATCAACACCCAAAACTCATCCCTACCAAAAATGAATATGGTGGCAAACAGCCTCAAGACCACTGACTTTGAGGTAGGTGTAGAATTTTTTTTTATACAATAAGTTTTATTTTGCTTACTTTTTTTTATCAAAAAAATATTTCAAATACATATTGAGTCTCTGACTGCTCCCCTTTTTTTATCAGCTGCTACTATCAGTGAAATCAGTGCATCTGCTATGACAGAATGTCAGTCAGCAGCTCTCACCGAGTGATTATAACTGGATCACAGAGTGTTCCCCAAAACAGCAGCTGTGTTAACCTGTTAAACAGTCCTCTAGTGTCCTCCTGATGATCATCTCCTGCTGCTGTGATTCCCTCTCTGAGTCTCCGTCTCAGTGTTTCTAACTCTCTCTCCTTTTCATCCATCCTACAATCAGAATCTTTCTGTTTCTTTGTCATGAGTTCCCACATTCTCTGCTGGAGTTCAGGCAGGATGATCTTCATGAGGTTTCTCTCTGCCTCCTTCTTGGCTTCTCCTTCATACGTCTCCCTGATCTCCTCCATCTCCTGTCTGTGTCTCTCCTCCATCTCTCTTCTCTCCTTTTCAGTCTCTTCTTTCAGTCTCTCTAACTCCAGCTGAACCTCATTCCTTTGCTGGATCTCTCTCTCCAGCTCTTGCTCCAGCTCTGCTTTTCTCTTATCATCTCGTTCTTCTTTTAACTCTCTCTCTAGTTTAGCTATTTGCTCCTCATGCTGATTTATTTGTGCATTAAACCTATCCATTAATTCTTTTAACTTCATTTTAATCAGCCGTTCACATCTCTCTAGTTTCTCTCCAGTTTCTCGTTGTTGTCTTTCTCACATCTCTTCTCTTTCTCCCACCATTCTTTCTCTCTGATCTGAGATTCTGTCTCCAGGTAGATCTCACTGCTGTAGAATTTCTCTCTGTTTCCTTCCACCATCTTCTCTATCTTCTCCAGCAGCTCTGAGATTTGAGAACCATCTCTACTCTCCTTAATGTTGAGACAGTGAAACCTGTTCCCACATTTCTCTACAAGTCTCTGGAATTCCAGAGTCTCCAGACCTGATAAACTCTTCAGTGTTCTTCTCTTGGACTTCATCAGTAACAGTGAAAAGGATCATGGTGTTCCTCCAACATCTCTCTCCAAAAATCTCCTCCATTTTCTCCAGCATGCCTCCCTCCTCTCCTGTAGACAGCTTCACTGGTATGACTAGGAGGAAGGAGTGGGATCCTGGGACAGACAGACAAACACGAGTCCTACGTCCTGTCTCAGCTTCTCCAGAGAGAGTCCAGGACAGAACCAGTCAGGAGTGTCCACCACAATCACCTGCCTCCCAGCCACCTTCCCCTGTCTGCTCTCACTCTGCTGCCTCACTGTAGACGCTCCAGCCCGGCTCCTCTCCTCTCTTCCCAGGATGGTGTTTCCTGCTGCACTCTTACCACATCCAGTCCTCCCCAGCAGCACCAGCCTGATACAGGAACTGACTCTGGAGAGGCTGGAGAGGATTCACTACTCACTGAAAATCAACAACAAGGAGGTATTTAATCTCTTACTGTGTAATGGTGATTATTATATTTTAGAAAACAAATAAGTATAGGAAAGTATGGGAAATCAATGGAATCATTTACTATTTGGAGGAAGTCCCCACCTACTGCCTTTTCTCCTGAGTGTTGCTGCAGATTTTGGAGTCCCTCCACTCACTATTAAACAGAACAACCAGCAAAGAGGAGATTATGTTACTGACTCCGTATTCACGTTATGTGCAGTAGAAACATGGGGGCCTCCATCTTGTTCATTCTGTCTTTTACCTTCTGGTTTACTGTCAATGACTGTTGATCACTAAAAAGGTGTTTAATTCAATTAAAAAATATGTATTTTATGCTATAATTATTAAATTATTAAAGAAGGAAAGAATTAACTAGCCTAGTTTATTATTAGAAATTATTAAATGACTATTTTAAGGACACATTAGCTTGTTTCTAGCTGAGTGGTGGGTACCGCAGTAAGCCACAGCAGAAGATAAGATTTATTATAGGGAGTAGCCTCTCTTTGTCCTCAGCCTGGATTTCCTCTGGATCAACTCAGCTGCTCCTCCTTTAGGTAAAGATTTCCTACAGTGACTGCCGCTTTACAATACTTTTGCTCCATACTTTGGAATTCTATAAATGTACTCAAAAACAGGCTTTTGTTTTTTTGTCTTTCACTCTTGACTTGTGAACACTCAAACAAAAATGCCACCAGTGGCTGATGAAAATGTTGCATCAGTAAAATAACTTTGACTTCATTTTAGTAATAAAAACATTTTTCTATACAAGCAGTCACATCAGACTGGATTTAATAACGTGTATGAAAATGTTTTATGGATATCCTGTGTAACATTGTGAGCTTGTAGACTAATTACTGTTAGTGCTGGTGAAAACAGCTGGATTCAGAACTGTGCAGTATAAATAGTGAGAACACAGCACATCTCAATACATTCTCTGTTCTATATATTCTAGAAAGGTCTTTCTTTCAAGGGAACATTCTTCCCTAGAACGCAAGTCCGTTCTTCTTGTTCAGGGTAGAGAAACACTCACTGTTTTCTGATTAGACCAAAAAAAAAATGGCAAAAATCTAAAGAGCTTTCTTTAAACGGGCGCAGCTGAATAAGATAAATAGTTTTAGTAGTTTATGTAATGAAATTTATAAATGAGTTTAACATTTTGCTGTTTAATGTTTTGCTGTTCTCACCAAATACCAAACTCGTATACAACTACACATTATAGCATAATTGAGAGTTGTTTTATTTGTTTTAAGTCATATTAAATCATATTTTTCCTGGAATATATATCTGTATTTTAATCTGTTAGACACCTACATTGTGTGATCATATAACAATGTAAACACTTTATACATTTATATTTTAAAGAATTTCATTTTAAGCATCTTCATGCAATCTTAGTAGTTACAGTATTGAGGCTCCAGCTCCTTTCCGTTTCTTTTCCTGGCTTGAACTGCTGAGTCTGGATCTGTTCTTTCCTGCAGCTGCTTGTTTCTCTCCTCTAGAAGTCTGTCTTTCTCCTCAACCTGCTTGTCTCTTTCCATCAGCTGTGTGTTTCTCTCACTTAGAAGTCTCTCCTTCTCTTCAAGCTGTCTGTCTTTTTCACTCACTTCAGTTTTCTGTTGTTCCAGTAGGATCATCATCTCCTGTAGTTTGCTGCTCTTGTCCTGCAGCTCCTTCCTCAGTGTCTCCAGCTGCTTTTTACTGCTTTCCACCTCTTTCACTGTGATCTCCAGTAGAGTCTCTTTCTCTCTCAGCAGTTTGATGTTATTCTCCAGTTGCGTGTTTTTATCTTTAAGCTGCTTATTAACACTTTCAGATCTTTCATTAGTTTCCTTTAATAATGAATCTCTCTTATCAATAGTCTCTAAAGGTTCTTTTATAATCATGTTTTTCTCTTTCAGTTTGATGTCTTTATCATTCAGTTGTACTTTTACCTTTTTTAGTTCTTCATCTTTCTCCTCAAGTCTTTTCTCCATTTCTTCCATTTGTATTCTATGATTGTTCTTTAATTTCTTTGTTGTTTGTCTGAGTTCATCTTCTGTCCCTGTGAGAAGTCTGTCTTTCTCTTCTAATATCTTGTCCTTCATCTGAAGTGTTGTTGTATTTTCTGTCAAAAATTTGTCTTTCTCCTCAACTTGTTTTTCTCTCTCCATTAGATGTGTGTCTCTCTCAGATGGTACATGTTTTGTTTCTTTGAGCTGTTTGGTCTTTTCAGTTAAATCTGTAAGAAAATATAAATTCAGTCTCTCTAAATTCACTATTCTGTAATGGACTGGTAACCTGTCCACACCCAACGACTGCTGGGATAGGCTCCAACAACCCCCACCAACCTCCCCACGACCCAGAAGGATAAACGGTTTAAACAATTTGCCATGTTCACAGATATACAGTACTGAGATTTAACAGCAGTCTGAGTTGCTGATAAGGAAACATTCAAGTGGAATAGATTTAATCTCCCCTACAAAAAGTCTAGAAAAAAATCAACTGGGATAAGAAGAGTCAAATACATTAGAAGATTTTGGCCTGAAACTTTTTTTTCCTAGTGTATTCATGGATGAGAGGTACATGCAGGGAGTTTTAATGTCCCCATAGAAAACTTATTTTTCTCAGATTTACTACTATTTTACCACCATTAAGATTACATATAAAACTCAGAAGACACATGTAGGTTCACTGGAGGTGAATAGGAAATAAATTTGCTAAGTTTGCGTTTAAGTATCACAACTCCTGGTTCCTATCACCACTACTGTAAAGAAATCTGAGTCAGTAAATTTTCCTACAATCAACTATTTCACATCAAACCACTTTGAGTGACATTGTTTCCATCTCAACCACTAAAATAGGCCTTTAACAGAATAGAGTGATGATCTTAAACAGCCAGTAGAGAAAGAATCTCTAAAACTGCAGCAGAGTGATCTGAATGATTTATATCAAAAGCAGTAAAACACAGCCTGTGACATGATAGTTTCATAACACTGCATTATATAAATATTAATAACTGTTCTCATTTATTTTCATTACAATCAAAAATTAGATGGCTTTGAGAAACTTGCTCACATTTTAGTATCAGAAATAAACAGGTTTAACTGTCACTTATTTTAATTCTGTATCTCTTTCAAAACTCACCAATCAGCAAAGCAGATTCCCTCATTTTCATTCTCTCCTCTTCTGTCCATTTTCTGCCCCTCTGAATAAAACAGTGTAAGATTTCATGCAGGATGTCATACTGTATGTTATATGATCAATAACTTTCTTTGTTTAAATCACTGTTTATGTGGCAGTATGAATCACTGAGAGCTGATATTAATAACAGTAGACAGTTTCACTGATTTAAACTGATGTTTGAAAATCACTGCATTTTTTAAAACCCATGTTTATGCAGCATTAAGTACATTGTTTGTTTGCAGTTGTGTGACTTTGAACAGTCTGACTAAGACAGAGTGCAGAGATACACTACAGAGTCTGTGCTGTGATCATGACAGGCAACAGTTTACTAATAACTGAATAAGAGCTATTTTCCATCTTATACTTTTAGTTTTCATAATAAATCATTTATCAATCATGAGCTCATGGTAAATGAGTAACAGATCCACAGAAATGCCAGCATCAGAAGAGAGGAAATAAAAATGTTTAAAAATGTTAAGTTTACTGTGTTTGTGATGTGACAAAAACCAACACATTTTAATATATCCACCTATTCAGCAGACTGCAGTTTAGCCCCGCCCATTCACACTGAAATTATAAGTAGTGTTTCAGCTTAGACTGCTTTTTTAATGAGGGACAATACAGGACAACCAATCAGAACTCATTTATAGATATCTTAAAGTCACAGTAACACAAACAGCCTGTTTAAGTCTAAGTGATGAAGAGAGGTTAGAAAATGATCATTTAAGAATGAATGGTGACGGTTTTGATACATAAAACCGCACAAATCTTTTAAGTGGACCCAAGAAGAAAAAATAAAATACTATAAAAATGTAGTATTCTGGCCCTTTAAAGAAGCTGCTACTGTATTTACAGCTAGACTTTTAAGAACTTTATAATAATAATAATTTCCTCTTCTAGATCATGTTTTTCTGTTTGATATTCTAGAGTCTGAGAGGAAAAAAGAATGAGCACTAAAAGTGAAACTGCAAATTAAACAGATAAAACCATGAAGTTTTTACAGTTCGAGATGTGCTGTTCTGTAGCTTCTGAGTAGTTAGTCTGATTCTCTCCTCAATGAGTCTGACTTTCTGCTGCACTTCTCTGACTGTCTGTAACCTGTATGTTCTGTCCAGGTAACACTGTATTATATTTCTACATTATAACTACATTATTGCTACATTATTGCCTTTATAGAACAGTATTAAATATAGATGCTGATATAAACATGACTCTGCTGTTAAAGTGCATGTAAGGAAAAATTCAAACATAAATTTCTAAATACATTAATGATCATCAGTCTGAAAAACTGTAAGCTTCACTTTGTAATCTGTCAATATCAGTGTGTAGATCAGATGTGTGCGCATATGAGACCGTTTGTGAATGAGGTAACAGTGTTGTTAATGTTGTGTCAGTCATCTCAGGCTGCTGTGAGCTCTACACTATAGTGATGCATACAGTGCTGAAGTGTGTGTTAGTGAACTCTCTCTGAACACACAGTACAGATAGATACATTCAGTCTTTACAACAACATTCTTCAACAATCCACACGTCAAAATAAAAGCATATCATGCTGATTTATACTCACCTTTCTCTGCTTCTCCCCAAGAATCCAGCTGTAAAGTGAGCAATATACTGTTAAGATTTCATGTATGAAATCATAAGTGAATTATTACATTTAAAAATGTGGATAATACTGCACTGTTGTTTGGGGGTTTTTCTTTTCTTTATGAGGATCAGATACAGACTGTGTCCTCACTGTCTGTCTGCCCCCCTGTCTCTCTCTCTCTCTCTCTCTCTCCCTCCTTTTTTTCCAACAGTAATGTATTATAATTCACTGATGATATGTATATGAATGTTTTTTTCTATTGATTATTAAAATAACTCTCCATTTAAAGAGATTAATATTCCATCTTCCACCTTCTCTGCTTGCAGCCCAACTGCTTCTCTTTAGAGCTTTCAGAGCTTCTCACTCAAATCACAACCTTCTGTTCATTATTACACCTGAGATTCTGTTATTTCATAATCAGATTTGTTCAGACTGGCTGATATTTGAGTGTCACATATTGTAAATAAACAAACTTTTGTAAAACAAAGGCCATTTTAATGATTTAAACACTTGATCAGAAAACAGCAATGAGGGCGGAGGTTTGTCTCTGTGTTCTGACTCAAAATGCTATGGAATCCATCTCTGCTCATTTGAATTATATACTTAAGATAGCATTTATTTATTTATTTGTTTGTTTGTTTGTATCAGCTAGTCCACTGAGTGATGGAGGGAAATCTGCTCTCATAGTGAGTTGTTTGTTGTGTTTTTTGACTACCGGAGAAGGAGAAGGTCTAAAATTAATGTAATAACTGTAAACAACTTCATATAGAATAAAATAAAATTTGTCCTCTCTATTTCATTCTTACACTTCTCCCTCTTCATTCTGTCCTCTTATCTCTCTTTTTACTGTAGAAGTGAACAAAAAAAATGTTCAAGTTTCATGCTTGAAATCACGAGTTACACATGAAAAACTAAAAATAACTTCTCTGAAATCTCCCCTCCTGCGTCTTTAAGATCAGTTTTAACTTTTCTCTCTTTATCTAGAAATGCTGAGAGATATCTGCAGACTGAATAAGAGAAGCTAATTATTCTTAAATTAAGTGAATGGAAGTGAAGGAGATGAGAAGATCTCAGTAATCAAGACTTTCAGAGCTGCTGACTCTTCATTATTTGCTGCTCCTTGCAGTAGGATTCTGCAGAGAAGCATTGAAAAGGAGGGAGATGAAGTCAAAAGCTTTCATTATGAGATCAGAGTCTTTGTTCATCATGTGAAATTTACCTGAAACTCAATATTATGTTACTGCTTGATGTCTGTACTGAATGTAGTTCATGTGATAAGAGCATAAAAATCAGTCACTACCAGCAGAGAAAGAAGTAAACATAGTTATTTACTTACCCTTTGTACTGTGGAATAAAAACAGAAGGAAACACAAAGTTAGACAAATCTCTATGAGAGACATTTTTATGATTAGAATACTTCAGTCTTTTTTAACTCTTATCTCCTTTTTAGAAATCTCCTTTTCTCATCTGTACTGTTGTTTTTCATCCCTCACTACTGCAATGTCACTCAGTGCTTTCAATACAACTCCATGAAGATGTTCAGCTAAACAGTTAAACACTTTACAATAAGGTTCTTTAGTAAACTAGTAATTATGCATCAACAACTCATTAACTGATTAAGTAACTATCGGTAATGAATAATGCGTTCTTCTTCAATACCTCAATCAAAAAATGCTTCTGAGAGACTCTGCCTCTCTAAAATGCTCTTTTTATGCCCCATCATGTGAGTTAGTTGCAAATTGCTCCTCCAGCTGTTTTTTTATTACTATCACTTACTTTTCCAGCCTTTTGTTGCCCCTGTCCCAACTTTTTAGGATGTGTGGCTGCCATCAAGTTCTAAATGAGTTAATGTTTTTCAAGAAATAGTAAAATGTTGCACTTTCAACATCTGATGTGTGTTCTATGTTCTATTGTGAATAAAATATGGGTCTATGAGATTTGCAAATCGTTGCATTCTGTTTTTATTTACATTTATTTATATTTTGCACAACATCACAACCTTTTTGGAATTGGGGTTGTACATTTACAGAATGAACAGACAGATTAAGTATAATATAATAACTAAGATTAAGTGATATATAAACTAAAAGATTAACTGATATAGTAACTATTACTAACTAATATATTGTCAATCAGGAACAGATCATGAAGGAACATATTAAATAAATCATTAAGAAATAGTAAATATAAGACAATAGTTTTGTGTTATGAAACTTCATAAATGAATAAGGAACATGAGAGTCAGTCAGCAGCCTGTAGTGACGTTACATATTAAAAATAATATTTGCATAATATACATTGTGTGTGTTAAATCAATTATCTCACTACAGTCTGTAGATTTCATTGGATGTTTAATCAGTCTCACTTTTATGGTACAATTTTATTTTTCATCTAAAATATATTTTGTAAAATAGATTAATCTAGGCTGCACGGACTGCTCACGGTAGCTTTTATTTATTTAATAACTGATCGTGCTAATTAGCCGTCTGGACCAGCAGAAAAGCATTCAGTCTGCATCTGACGTTAAAAAATCAAGATTAGCGCGAGATCCGGTAGAAACATCAGCAAATTCATCAATGTGTGAATCTTCCTTCTGATCTTAATACACATAAAAATAAAATAAACTCCCCAAAACACAGTAAGAAGGCCGAAGCTGAATGGATTCCTATTCACCAGCTTCTTCTAGCTTTCCCGTTTCACCTTAAATTTCTGGTGCCTGAAGCTGCACCATTTAAGGTGGAACGGGACAATTCAAACAAGCAGTGGGCTGATGCACCATTTAAGGTGGAACGGGAAAATTCGAACAAGAAGCTGCCTGATGCATCATTCAAGGTGGAAATTTGGCAAATAAGAAGCTGACTTCAGGTTTGTGTAAGAAGGTGCTAACGTTAATCTATTAATATCTACAAGGATTCAGGAATGCTATAATTTACCTACAAAGCAATAACAATGATAAAGTTAAGATCCCCTGAATAGACTCTTCAATGAAATAAGCTTAATATAAACCAGAGGAAAGACAATCACATCAACAGGTTCTCTGTGCCTCACTAACCACACAGCCATATCTACACATAAACATCACACAAACAATACGCATCACACAAACATGAGCGTAGATCGCTGCGTTTCCTCCGTTATGTAATCCTATCCCGCTTTTCTGAGTGCAATATTCTTGAAATAATATAATTTTGGACAGCATATTACCTAAACTGTCGCTCTTTAATAGGGGTGCAACGATTATTCGACTTAGTCGACTAAAACCAACGACCAAATTAGTTGGCAACTATTTTAGTAGTCGATTAGTTGGTGACATAATTACGAGTCTTTCTCACGCTCACTAGGAACGTTTTGACATTACCGCTTACTGGAGACTTAACAACAGCGCGATGGCAGCCTCAAGAACAAAATCCTCAAAAGTGCGGGAGCTAAACTCAGAAAAAAAGATGAGCTATTTGTAAAGCCGACATTATCTGACATAGGAACATCTCCTCCATGATGGAGCATCTAAAGAGGAAACTCGGCGGCTCACTGGATGATGAAGATTCATCTCGGTAACATACACCCCGTCCCAAACCGCATACTAGCACACTAAATAGTGCGTAAAAATAGCGCATATATTAGAGGTGCACTCGTTAGTGTCGTCTGTGAAGTACAAAGTGTGTGGTTTGGGACGCCGCGATAGTTGTGCTAGCGAGCTAGTTAGCTAATGTTAATGCTAAAAGCCGCCCTACTTCATGTTATGAATAACATTTTCTATTGTTGATGGAGTTGGAACAGAGAAGCAAGTAACTATTATTATTATTCACAGCAACACTGTTCACACTCCAGATAACGCTTACACTTTTAAACACTGCATCGTCATCTTAACGTCGAGGCCATCGGTGCGGTCAAATTCGGCGAACACAGGACAGCGTTTCCAAACAGTTCTCTATTCTCCGGTCAATGGCGGCGCCGTTGACGTGCCTAACTGGACCCAACGCGGCATCTGGGTATGTATATCTAGCACTAAGTTAGCTAACCTAAGCAAGACAGCTTCTTTTGGAAAAAAGCTTACAGCTTCTGCAGTTGTATAAAATACTAACTAGCTAGCTAGCTGGCTAATATATACCAAACATATAACATATATGGTATATATATATATATATAACAAACGATAATACTAATATTTAAAGATTTAGACTTTTACACTTTTATTTTGTCAGGCTTAGCTTTAGTAATGTTGACGTGACTTGAAAAAAGATCAGTATTGGAAAATCAGTATTAGAAACCATCATCATCATCATCATCGTTAACCGATTAGTCCAGATAGGGTCGCGGTTATTAGAAACCATGCCTTTATTTATTTTTTTTATCTCTTGACTGGAATACAGCTGTCTTTTTGTTGCTTCTTCTTCATTATTATTATTATTATTATTATTATTAGTAGTAGTAGTAGTAGTAGAAGACTAGAAGCAGTGGTACTGGTACTGTTATTATCATGATCATTATCATTGTTACTGAGTTACCCTGAAACGTCTATTGACAGGTCACAGAGGAACTGACTTCCTTAAAACTGTTTTTGGATGTCCTCTTACGCTCATAACATGTCCCCGACTGACCACTATTTTTAAACACATTTTGGACGTCCACAGACGTTCTTTGTTTACTGTTACTGCAGCGCGATCAGATAAGTTGACATGCATCGTGTTCCTATAACTGAAAGTCGATCAGCCACGTTTATCAGGTGCTGAACTGTGCTGCCCTCCTTTGGCCTTCTGAGCCAAATGTCTGAGGTGGACAGTGCTGGTGTGTGCAGTTCTGCAACGGATCAAAAAATCATATTCTATTGTCATTTTAGTCAGTAATTCGACCAAAATTTCCTTGATTATCTCAGACCAGTTTTCAGTTCAATAGCAGTGTGCTATAATTTTCTGCGGACATATTTTAAACTTGAAGCATAGGATATAGAAAGGATGTTGCTGTAAAATTGACAACAAACATGCATTTAAGAAATTTCAGAGTTCATAAAAATTTGCATTTTTTTTACTAAAAACATAAAGGTATTCATCAAAGGAATTTAGAGACAAAAAGACGTAAATATGCTTGGAAAAAATGTAAAATAAATGCAAACAATCATTAATGCAGTGATATAATTATTATAGTAGTAAAGAAGTCTCCAGCTGTAGTTTTTTTTACACTGTTTTTTTTGGGGAGGGGAGAGGCAGAGAACCCGCCTGTGAAGAAGGACTCTGTCCTGCGTAAACACTTTTATTTTAAGCCAGTTTGGGGACCTGTGGTCTTTTTAAATAAACACTGTTTTATTGACCCTCATTTTGTAGATATAACTGGACTAATAATCATTATCTTGCTTTAGGCCAATAAGGGATGTTTTGAAACTAGATTAGTATTTTATTGGTCACTAGATGGCGCTGTCACTCTTTTGTGTTTATTGCTACTGGTACAAAGAACCAAACGCTTTTGTGTCTCAAACATGACCAGAAAAACGCTTGGACAAAGAAACTCATTTCAGTAAAATAAAACCCATTAATGTCTTCAGTCTATTAACGTTGTTTAGTTTGAATGTACTGAATATGACAGGGTGATCCCATGCAAATAACTAACAGTGATTTTGATAGAAATGAAGGAATCAGATCAGATCACACCCCATTCCAACTTTACACTGTATCAGAAATATGTGCAGTTATTAATGCCAAGTGAACCGGATAATCTCCGCCATGTCCTTTGAAACTGTGAACGACCCCGAGGGTCGTGTCGGCGGCCTCCTCTCAACAGGAGTGAAAAAAGCTCAGCCAATCTTTTGATAACTGATTGGATGAGGGGAGCTCGCAGTTTACAGTTTTACGTTTTACAGTATCGTATAAAACCCCACAATATCCTGAAAAAACATTGTTGTCCGAAAGCACTTTTTTTCCCAATAAAAGCAAATCCTGCCCAGTTTGGAACCCTGCCAACACTGAGAAGCAGTGGCATAAAAGTCACGTCACTGAGAGATGACGTCACAGAACCGGTCCATTGTGAAGTCATACTCGGAACTACCAGCTGACAATTCCAGAAAAAGTGTTTTTCTTTTCAGAAGCGCGTCGTTACAACAATAACAGCACAAACAGGTCAGTCTGAGTCTTTTTATGCAGCTTTATTCACACAAAAAGTCTGTAGTTCACTAACTGTTTGTGAACAAAGCCAACCGGATTTTAAAAGAGTAATGTTTGTTTTACATGGGATTAAAATTTGATAGACAATAATTACAGAGTTAATTTTGTATCTAAAGGACTGCAATGCTGAAACTGCAGTTTTGTGAACTGCAAATTCTTCATTATGAAAATTTTACTAACTGAAGTGTCAAAATATTGACTTAGTTTTTGAAATTTTTAATGTATTATTTTGAAATAATCACTTATTTTTTCGAGAAATTAACATAATGTCTCAAAATAATAACATATATTCTTAAAATTATTGACCCCATCTCCAAATAGTTAATTATTTTTGCAAAATTGTCATGTATTATTGCAAAATAATGAAATATCAATTGTGAGAGACTTAGATACTGCTGAGGAGGAAGAAAAGAATAAATATACATTAAGCAAAGTTAATAATCTGAAAATATTGATGAGTTTCATTAACACTTGTTGTAATTTCTTTGTCCAAGCTGTTTCAGATGATGTAGATATGTGTGAAATTAGCCTTATGCTTCACTGGGAGAGTAAATTATTTCTCATTCAACTGATATCATCTGATAATGAAGCAGTTGTTGCATTTTTAGACAAAAACAACTGTACATTTTTATGTATGACACTGAAGAGTTTTACTTATTTATGATTCTCCATATCAGTTTTCAGTGATTATATGAGAAAAGAGAAGAAGAGTGAAAAGTCATGAAGAGAAGCAGAAAGCACCAAAATACAAAGCAGGTACAACATTAATAATCCACAGCAGTTATTTATCAGACTCTGAAGGAGCACACCTGACTGAATCCAGCCATTTTGTTTTGTAAAGTCAACAGCTCCACAGGAGATGAAGCAGGAGCGAGAGCTGAGCCCCCCACCCAGCCCCCCAGCCCCTGGGTGCACCTGCATCCCTAAAATGTCCCTGTTTCGCAAAAAGGGCAGGAAGCAGGAGAGGCAGAAAGAGGAGGAGCAGCTCAAGCAGCTTCAGACAGAGAGGAGAGAAACGGAGCTGACTAAGAAAGAAACAACCCAGAAGAGAAAGAAGGAGAGGCAGAGGAAGGTAATTCAGCCTCGTGATTAATTCATCATTAAACGATAAACTGTGTATTCGCAGGTCATTATAAAGCCATGTTTAGCAGATTCTCCACAAGGGGGTGATATTAGCATTCGAAGCGCTGTTTTAAGTCTCACTGAAAAAGTTCACAGCAGCAGGATCACACTAATGCACGTACGTTTGTAACTGTTAGTTACAGATTTGAAGTATATGAAGTCATAGTATGTTTTTGCTGTTATTAATTGCGTGTATATAAAAAAATGTTTATTTAGGTCTAGGCTGAACAGATCAGCAGAAATCGAATAGGATAATAGGCTGTTTGATTGTAAACCACCACTAGTTTGGCACTAACATAACACTGAAGCGCTAACAGAATTTAACATTGTCTTAGCAGTGGAACTCACACTAACTATAAAGTGAGAATTTCTTCATTGCACACTGCTATTTAATGAAATGTGTAGTCTGTGACCTTATTTCCTAAAATTTCTCAAAATAATCTCAGAATATGGAGCAGGAGAACGATAAGGAGATCAGGGCTCTGGAAGAGGCAGTGAGACTGCTTGAGGAGGAGATTCAGGGATTCAGAGAGAGAAAGAAAGAGCTGAAAAGAGAGCTGAAGACCCTGAAGAAGAAAATAGCAGGAGTAGAGATGGAGACTTCAAAAACCAGACAGACAAAGAAGGAATGGAAGAGAGAGATGGAAGCAATGAAGGAGAGAATGGTACAGGAAGAAAAACAGAGGGAGGAAGAGAGGGCGGGACAAAGGGAGGTCATCTGTAAAGAAATTGTCATTACTGTAGTGAAGGCAGACAGAGAAATGGAAGAAAAGAAAGAAAAGCGTGATGATAAGAAGATGGCTACAGTCAGTGAGAAGCAGGAAGTGATACAGGAGAGGAAGAGTGAAGGAGAGCTGCTTGAGGAAATGGAGAAGCAGAGAGAGGAGGAACAGCTGAAAGAGAGGAGAGAGAGTCAGGAGGCAGTAGAAAACGGAAAAGAAGTTATGATCGAGATGGAGAACCTTCAGGTGAGACCCAAGTCCACCTTCTAAATGGGCCTGTAGAAAAAGAATACAGGGGTGGTCGGGGTTAAAAACAGCGAGCCTCCTTCACCAACCGTTCTTAAATTGAAATGTCTTTCTAAAACTCACCTACACAGTATTCACGTAGAGTCTGACGTTCACCAATCTGTTCTCATTTGGGGTTTTTTTCTTAGGTAAGAACAGAATCTATGCACACTCAAGAGCACAAAGGTGCGATTAGTCCTTAAGAACACATCATGAATCTGACATAGATATTTTCTTAGGACCTTTCTCAAGAAAAACTGAAAGAAAAAAACTTAGGAAGATAGTGATGAATGAGGCCCAGTGTCTTCAGCTTACTTAACCCCTTAAAATCCCAGGCTTATTACATGCTAAGGCCTATTATTCAGTAATTTCTGGGCTTCAGTGCAAACTGGCTGAGCTATTCTTAGGATGTAGAAGTGTGTAATAAAACTTTGGACCGTGGCCATTTAAGGGGTTAATCCATTTGAACCTTGTGCTTATTATTCAGTAACTACTATACAGTTTTCAATAAATACTTTTTATGGGTCTGCTAAGTGCCGTCTTGTCAACATTTTTAGCCAGTATATTGAAACCAAGACAAAGTCAGTTGAATAACTCTGTGGGTAAAGTGGTTAGATTACATAATATGTACATTTTAGTAAACAAAACCATGTTTTAATCTCTCAGATGGAGCCCGCAGCACCCAGCACATCTAGAAAGAATGTGGTGCAGAGAGTGCTGTCCAGTGTTCTATCCAGTATTCACTCTGGAGTTCAGTCCATCATGGAGGTAATTACTTCCTCCCACACTGCGCAAAAAGATGCGTTTACATGATATTTTTCATTGAAAGCTGCTCCTTTTATAAAACAATTAACAGTATTTCATTTACGGAGTTTATTAAATCATTTCACCATTAATATTTGTTGTTTTTTTAACAGGTTAAAAATTAATTGAGCATTTTATTTACTGAAACTTTACTTTTGTTGTCTTACCTTTTTTTAATTCTGCTCTGCAGTTCCGAAAAAAATTCTCAGTTCAGGCTGTTCAAGATAAGGAAGAAGAGCCTAAGGACAAGTCCCCACCTCGTCCATTGGTGGCACTCGGAGCTCCGGTTTGTCTTTTTAATTTTATAAGCCTAACAAATAGATTCAAATGTTTTAAAGTATCTCTTTATTTCAGCATTTTACACCTTGGCTCTCTCGCTGTCCACATTGTGGCATGCTGTCAAGTATAAAGTCATCTTAATCATGAATATATTAGGGAATGATGTGAATGGATGTCTTTGTTTTTTTCATTGCACAGACTGGAGTCCTGACTATACGCATAAGAGGCTGCAGAGACTTCAAGAAAAACAGTATCCTTAGAGTTTATTCCAGTCTCACTGTTATATGTGTAGTCTGTGGGTTTGTGTTTGTGTTGTTATCTAGCCATGAAACTAAAATCAGTTGATTTTGTCTGCATGGATCAATTGTGCTGGTTCTGGTTTGGCTGTTTTCCTGACCCCTGCACCAGCTCAAATACAGAAAGACACTCAGTGTATGGTGAGGATCACTGTTGGGAGAATCGTGAAGTGCTCCAGGCTGCAGCCCTTCAAAGACAACCTAACTTTCAATGAAGTGAAACACTTCTCCATACAGGTTACTACTACTTATCAGTGTCTTCTTCTTGTGTACAACAGATAAATAAGTAAAGTTAAAATTAAAGATACTCTGGTCATTAAATCACTCAAATGATGTTAATCATTCTCGATGCCATCTTAAGGGCCGTATCATTACTGTATTTACACAAACTAATTTTATTGGATGAGCGCTCGAAGGGGTGAGGGATCGAGTGAATTTAGGTGCTCACTTCAGCGGCAGAAGTCACAAATCAGTGCAATCTGAAGCAACTGCCTTTTCAAACCTGGAAATATAAAAACAAAATGAGCTTCAAGATACTTTGAAATGCTTAATATTTTAAAATCAACATTTTATGAGCAAACTACTCCATCTGTTATACAACACTGCTGATGCAACTTCATTACTTTACTCTTCTATCTTACTAGTTAGTAATTTAAAGGCTACACAGCTAGCAGCAACAACAAATAAAGACAATACACCATGGTTCTAAACCAAACTTGTAGCCAGAGAAGAAGTTATTCACAAAATGCAAGCTATAGGGTAAAGCACTGCAATGCTCACGTGTCGTACTTCTTATTTTAATTTTGCACAATAATATTATTTACCACAATAATTGTCCAAAACATAATCGTTTGTTTCAATTTGCATTATCATCCAAACTGAGTGAGTAGCTGCTCAGATGAGAAGAACTGCTTTTCCAAAATAATTGTAATCCTTCTGGCCTTTCCTGACTGTGTTTGCAGATCCAAAAAGAAGAGGCTCTAGGGGTCCAGGAGTCCAGTTCAGTAAAGGTGGATTTGATCTCTTTTGATGGAGATTCAGCTGCCCCCAAACTCATGGGCAGCACCACCATCAAGCTGCAGGAAGTCCTTTATGTGAGACACACCCTCATTCACACATCTGTAGAACGTTTTCTTTTAAGCCACTCAGTGTCTCTGATTACCAATAATGACTAACATAATGCTTCTTTTTTACCAGCAGAAATCATCAGTTAGCCAGCAGATTGATTTGAGGCTTGGAGGCAAAGTAAGTCATGCTTACTTTGAAATATTACATTATTTTTTCTGTTTATGTGGAAGAAAAAGAGATGTAAGATTGATTTCTTATATTTTCAGAAAGTGTGCAAGTTGGATGCAGACCTGACCTTTACATATGGGTCCTTTGGCTATGGATACTCTCACCAGGTTGGTGTTCAGAACAGATGCAGATTGTACTGATATCTGTAGAAGTGTGGTGGCCATGTTGTTGCTTATAATAAAAGAAGATCTTGATGGTGAGCGCATTGTTTTTCTCTCACTACAGATGAAACATCCTAAAAGGACAATGGAGAAACTGGTGGAGGAGTCCCTCTTTCTCCGCTGCCCACCTCCTGAGGACAGAAGAGATCCACACTAGTGAGACATATAGACATTCTTTAAAACAATGACTAAAATAATATTTCTGTAGGTATTTATATTATATAAATTACTAAAGAGATTTTAGTAATTTTCAGTTCTAAAATCCAATTGGATGAGCCACACATATGACCACACCTTTCACTTGAGTTCTGTGTCATTATTCTTTAACCATTATCTTGTTTGGCATCTATAACCTGCAGTTAACAAACTACATTGCTTGCCAGAAGAATTTTGTACAGCAACTATTATTCACAGTAATGACATACATTTATTTTATTATATTGTATTTTGTTGCTGTTTTTCACTGCAAAATCACTGTTACATTCGGCCTCCTGTGTGTTATTTTCTTAAAAAAACATTCAGAGATTTGTCACTATCAGTAGATAATGGTAACACTTTAATTCATCATTTCTTTAACGTTTGTCTGTTATTTTCAACAAATTGACATATTTCTCTTTCTGTCAGTAATGTGACGACCCCTTGCAGACCATCCTCGGTCAACATAATGTCCTCTCTGATGCAGCGAGACGCACAGAGAGACACAGAGTGCAGGATATCTGCTGGCATAATGAACTGCATGGAGAGGAGAGGCAGGTCAGTGTCGAGCTTCATTAAGGCCTAAGCTGTGACTAGCATGAAGAAGCCACACAATGAACTTGGTCTAGGCCAGGGCAAATTATATAGTGATTCTGTGCAGTAATTCATACCACATAAAAGTAGAGCTGCAACGACATCTGTTTTTATAAACTAATCAGCTCATTATGACTTTCATTAGTTAGTCACTCATTGAAAGAAAAAAAATGCAGTTATTAGACTCCCAATAAATTAATATTTCACAATATTATAAACAATATTTTACTAATTAAAAATACAAGGATTATTTCTTACCATATAGTTTAAATCATATTTAAAAAAAAAACAAAGACCTTTATCAAGGGCACAGCAACAGATCTGCATTGGCCTCCAAAACTTTGCTCAATGTGAATATGGCAGAAAGGGTAGTGGAATAGCACATAAACAAATATTAAATGGCAGTACAATCACTCTGCAGGCAGGTTGATTTTACAAGAACCTTGCATTGCTGTTTAAATGATTTATCCTCTAATGATAAAGCAAAAATAAATGAAATAGGTCTGGGTGGTTGGTAACATTATATAATCAAATCTGATATCGCTAACCACACAGAAACAGTTCGGTCATCATCTATGATATTCTATATACAATTTCTAACCACTTGGTGGAAGTGGGGGTTGTCCACATACATCCAAGGGACCTTGGCAAGTAAATCTCTAATATGGATGGAATTAAAGTATGTATAGTAGACATTTTCTTGGATATCACATAATAATGTTAGTGCGACATTAATAGAAAGAAGGATGGCAGTTTTTACAAGGGGTGGTGGCTTTCGTCATAATCAGTGAGTCATTCTGCCATGCTGAGTAAGATCATCAGATAGAAAACCTTCTTTTTAGATGACCTTAAAGTGGTGTTGCGATATTTTTCTTGTCCTGTCGTGCACAGCCTTGTACTGTAGTCTGTACCATCTATATTTTCCCTCTGTGAATTAAGTGATATAAATGAGAAGTGGACACGCTTTCAGTCTAATCTAATTGATAATTGGATTCCTTGCAGTCTTTCATTATCAGTGTTATCAATGATGTCGATTAGTTGTTGCAGCTCTACATAATAGGTATGAACAGTTTAAGCATTCCCAATTTTGACTGAACTTTCATGAGAATCCTTGTTATGTGGTAATATTACAAATTTGAGAAAATCCAACACTCCACAACTCTTTGTGTTTTTTGTGTTTTCCAGGTTGTCACAGCTTCATAAAGCCTTGGAGGACTGTGAAAGAGGAGAGGATAGGGTGCAGTTACTGGAGGGTTTGATCTTGAAGACAGGAACTCGCATCAGCTCTCCCTGTAAAACGAACCAGAGCGCTGAGGTGTGTGGGATGGTGGTGCACATGCTCACCACTTCTGAATAACTCCTGTGCTAGTATGGTGTGTTGTTGTGTTAGATACTATGCTGAAAGCAAGTTAATATTGTGTGACAGATCCGGTCTAAAGAGGTGGAAGAAAGGAGAAAAGAGTAGAATAGCGAAGATGGAAAGGCAGAGGAGACGGTGAAAAAAGGAAAAGCAAAATATAAGACGAAGAAGTAAGGCAAGGCCTCGCAGTCTCCTCAACCAGCCTCACTCCCAGTGTCATTCTCTTATGGTCTCCCAGTCTCCTCTGGATGAAACTCTGGTATATGTTGAAGGTTTGATTTTAATTACATTTTAATTACATTTTTGATTTTAATTACATTTTAATTACATTTTTTCATGCATGGGAAGAAGCGGACAATTCCTGAATCCCCTGTCTTAGCCGCAAACGCACACACCAAATATATACATCATTCTGACATATAGAGCATGGTGGCTGAACGTTTGCTCCAGTACAAGAGAAGTGATGATGCCCCAATTCTACAATATCCCCTCCTTCTTGTTTGTCAAAATGAACTTCAAACATTGAAATTTGAATATACGCTCAAAAAATATATATATTCGAATGTCGGTGTGGTTTTTACCACTGGATTGACAATAATGAGCAATAGCAGGATCCCAGTAGGAATAAGAACCATTCTTTAATACCTGCAGTATTCAGCCTTGTTAAAATTCTAATCCATGAAAAAATTGGCACTGTCTCTCTATGTGTTTACTTATTTGATCCATGATCTAATTACACATAAGTCTTTACCAGATCTTTGTATGTCTAATCCAGAACACAAAATGACCAGCCTCCGACCGACTGCTGGTGAATCCCATCCTCGTCGCTGAAACCATCTAAGAGCCTCAGATACAGGTAGAGGGTGCGATCATTTTAATCCGATATTTCCATGCATGGATAGAAGTGGTCCATTATTGCAGCCCCTCTGTTGGCCACATTTCATAGCCTTTTAAGCCATCGGACAGAATATATACACACATGGCTTCCATTACACCCATCCCAATCCTTATAAGGAATTTGGACTGTTTTGCCCCACAGTACAGAATGGAATGTGGTGTCTGAAGGTCAAATGATGATGAGCCCCAATTTTCACAGCTGCCCAGCCAGATTTCCAGTCTCCTGCTCTGAGACCCTCCCAGTCTCCTGCTCAGCCGGAATCCCAGCCTCTCATCCTGCATTGGCTCTCATCAGCAACAGCACCATCCTGTTTCCTCTACTCAACATTGCACACACCTGCAGCTGAATCAACAACTCATTTATGAGACAACAAATACCTCTAGTTTTGCTCTCATCTTTCGCAAAATCTTGCCGTTCTCGTGTTCATCTTTCTCAGTGTTTACAGTTCTTCGTTTTTCTTTGTGATTTAGCCCCTGCTGGTATCAGATTACGGATTTTTCTTGTCTGCCTGCCTGTGTGCTGACCACTGCCTGTGCCCATGACGATAAGTACTGGAAGTCCCACTGAAGCTGGTCAACACATGTGGCCTGCCTACACTTCTAGTTTACAAATGGCACTGATTCAATACCAGGTATCGGAATTTTGTTGATGTCAGCAGAAAATTCCGCATCAGATATTGGAGAGAAAAACAGAATGAACCCAATCAAATCCTTTAACAAATCTAGCTGAAATAGCTACATTTCCAACTTCTCTCTTTTTCTGTCTTTATCTATGTATCTCTCTCTCTTTCTCTCTCTCTCTCTCTCTCTCTCTCTGTCTCTCTCTCTCTCTCTCTCTCAGTAATGTGATGACTCCTTGCACACCACTCACAATAAATGCATAGAGAAGAAGAAAGTGCAGGATGTCTTCCGGCGTAAAGTGCAAGGAGAGGAGAGGCAGGTCAGTGTCAAGCTTCTTCAAGGCCTAAGTTGAGACTAGTATGGATGAGCCACACTGAACTTGGCCTAGTACAGGGCAAATGACGTAGTGACGGTAATAGTAATTGTGGAGTTACAACTGACAACTGTTTCCATAACGGCTTAATCAACCCATCATTACCTTGATTAATCAATTAATTGGGAAAAGAATGAAGTATATACAATGTTTTATTCATCAGTAAAAATACAAGGATTATTCTTGCTCTATGTCTTAAATCATATTTGCAAAGAATTTAAATAACTTATCAACAGCATAGCAATATATCTGTATTGTCCTGCTAACAGATGTGTTTAATCAGCGGTCAGTTTTCTTTTTTTTAAATCAAGGGAGATGTAAATGGAATGGGGGTACTTCAAATACTTCAAAAGGCAATTTAGTGTGTAAATCTCAAATGTGGGCAGAATTAAAGTATGTATAATAAAGATTTTAGATCAGTACAATCTAATCGTATCACTTAATTACATTAATCCAAACACTATCAAAAAAGGGTGGCAGTTTTACAAGGGGGATGATTTTTGTACTTTTCTTTTAACAGAGGGACACATCCCTTTGCATCCCTCTTCAAATCATTCCCAGCAAAAAGTACAAAAGTGCAAAAGTACAAAAGCTCAGACCCAAAAACTGTAAAAGGCAAGAGGTCAAACACAGGCAGTGAAAAAATCGACTGGCAATGCTTCGCAAAGAGAAAATTGTTTGAGGGAGGTTTTGTAAATAGAGAAATCAGGAGATGAACATGTGAGCGTGATCAGACGTAGCCACGTACAGGAATTAAATTACTGGGGTTTTGACCCGGCACGTTTTCCTTTGATTTATTGATTACATGGGGTTTGATGACTTTAATGACGTTATTGGAGCAAGTTCTCCTACACAGCTAGCAGAAGCCTTAGTATAAAGACAGTAGAGAGAGAGGGGAATGGTAAAAATGGAGGAGGCATTGTCTGTATCATAAAAGCAGTTACCTGTCTGCTGTTTATACTACTGTTTATTACCATTAAGTCCAATCAGGCCTGTTAAGATCGTCATAACGGGTAGAGAGAGCATTCAGTGTGATGCTCGCTCTGCCATGTTTGTGCCTTTGTGCTGTTTTTGGGAAAAGCTGTTACACTGAATACACTTTCTTAGAAATAGCTGAAGTTTCCGGCCTCCTGTTCAGTCAGTTAGTTGAGCGTGTAATGTTCGGATGCGCAATGTTTATGTAGAAACCGAAGTGTTCTTATGTAGAACAATGTGGAACTTCTCTGGTACGCAATCGGAAAAAAGTGAGTACAGTTTTAAACTTGTTCACTCCTGCAAAAAGAAGGAAGAATAGAAGATCACTCAAAAATGAAGAATCAAATCAGGACACTAAATCATGAAAAAGACAAAAAAAATAGAATATAGATTTATAATATAAAGAACCAGTATAAAAAAAGAATTATAATATTATAATAGAAATAAAGAACTAGAATATAGAAGAAGCAGCAGAATATAGATGGTATAGTACAATAATAATAAGGTTTTATACAAGCTACCACCAGATTTGTACTTTGAAGGTTTAAATAAAAATGGGAGGAGTAAAAAACTTTTTAATTGTAATTGAGTAAGTACAATGCAAAACAAGCAAGTAATGCATCTTCCAAAATACTATCCACAGATTTAAACTTTTGTTTTAAAATCTCAAACTTGAGTTGTTGGTCCCCCCCCCCTTTCAATGATGCACATAAAAACTATTGTGCTAATAGCGACCGCTTGTGGAGAATACTACATTGTCTGTTGTGCAAACAGGATTTCTGCTGTAATGTTGATAATTTATTTGTTTGTTTGTTTGTTTGTTTTAATTATGCTTGATTTTTTAGACAGTAATGCATTCAAAATGATGTGATTGCTAAACTGGTATAACACACTAATTGCTAATAGCGCCCCCTTGTGGAGAATGCTACTTTGTCAGCAGGACAAAAATACATTAAAGTTTGTGTCTTATCAAAACAAAGGCTGCTGTGGGATAAAGTTGGTAACTATGTGTAATGGTGTAATCTGGTAGGTTTACCTGTATTTCTTTCCCTGATTTCTTGTTTTTTATGTTTTAAAATCTCAGGACAGTCTAACATGGCGGAGGAAGCACTTCCTAACACGGCAGCAGGTTCTCTCTTGGAGCCTGATGACTCGGCTTTGTCTCTGAACATCTCCCATTTCCTGCAGAGCCTGGCTGATCGGTATGTACGCAGGACTGAATGGTCCAGCCAGGATTTTAATTCAATTCAATTCAGTTTACTCTACATATATATCATGTACACACAATATACAAATATATGTACAAGTATACAAATATCAAATATACCTATCAATAACATTACTATGCATAAGAAATACAATATCTACACACCTGGGCAAAGAAATTGGCCAAGCCCAAAATGGCAATTTGTTAAGCTTTTAATCTTAAAGAAATAGATGCAGTAAGTTAGCATGGGGAGCTTTTCACTTCGATTTCTTTAAATGTTGAAGTTTTGTGTGTAAATTTGCAGACAGTCTTTTACAGAAAGAAAAGTCAGTGTTGATCCACTCAGTATTGACAGCTTGTAACAGCTTAAAAATATTGCAGAGCTAGTTTTAATGTGAGACCAAATACTCTCTATAGGGTTTTAATTCGGATTCTTACTATCCGTAATATTGTGGTAACAATACATAATCCCGATTGGTTGTTCCTGATTCTGTAGTAACTGGTAGCCAATAAAATGCCATTTAAAGAGCTAACAGACAAGATGTTTCTCTTAGAAAGGTGGTTCAATGTGCAGGACTCATTACTGATGAATGTATTGACTAAAATTGCTTTTTCTGCATTTTTTAAAATCTTTCAGGCAATTACAGGATGGAGGATGCAGGATGCAGGATGGAATGCGTCAAATGGTGAGTGTTTTTATTCAAAACCATTTAATTTGTAGTCAAAATTAAAGCACATTACCCCTATAAAACAATACTAAGAGCTGTCATTATGATCTCTGCTTGCAGTTCACAAGGGACGAAATCACTGAAATGATCATGCACATCGTAAAGATCGTGACCACCGTATCACACAAAATCATCGTTCCAAAGCTTACCCTCGCAATATGTGCATCACAATCAGGGAGTTTGTTGATTGTCTTCTAGCAGAGCTGGAAGACATGACAAAGTCCTCTCAGAGTTCATGGATCAGTGATGATATCAGCTCTGATCCAGCCTGTAACGTTCCTAGAATTCCCAGCCTTATGAAATTGTCAAGTATGGCTTTCAATGGGTCTATGGAGACCCAAGCTGAAACTTCCATTCCTACACAAACTCTGAGAAATGCATCCTTATATACCAAAATCTTTGTGGACAAGCTTTTACTCCAGCTGGAGTCGTTTACAAAGTCAGAGGTGTCTGAAGATGACCAGGCAACATTTAGAAGACGCACCCCTGATTTATCTTGCACAGCTGAGTTGCTTGTAGACCACATAATGGCTCACATTCAAGAGGTCTCAGCTTCACCTTTTGGAGACAGCATACCTGCCGTTCCTCTGGATTTTCAGGTACCGTCTTTCCTTCAAAGCTCCTCTGCTAAGAGCTTCGAGAAAATTCGGAGTAGGGACTCTCGAAACAAGGCAGCTCAGGAAGTGAGTCAAACCTTACTGAAGTGTTCAGAGAGCTTCCTTGCTATTTCTCTCCATTCACTAAGTGCTCACACCAGCCAGACAGATTCCAGTGCGATGAGTGAGCTTAGGGATTTTTCTGCAGCATATCGGCAGAAAGCAGCTAAAGTTGACCCTTCAAAGATCGATGTGAGGAAAACTATTGACAAGGTACTTCAGGTGATTACAGACCAATGTGCTTAATCAAAAGGTCATCACATTTCAGAGGAACCACAGCCGATATTTGATCTAGTTAGGTCCACGTTGGACAATATAGTCATGGACAAACATCATTTAGATCCAGACATATCTTGTCCTGTCATGTCACCTGAGCACATTTCTTCACTTCCTGGGACCCCAACTTCTTCTGAGTCATCTAAGGGTAAAAATAAGGAATCACACCCTGAAAGACAATCAGTGAGGATGACAGATGAACAAGAGCAACCCAAGAGCAGAAAGAGGGTTTCGATGAAACTGACTCACGCAGCTCAAAAAACTCAGTACACCTCCTCCAACCATTTCCGTGGCTGCCCTCCATTGTCGCATACGTGCAATACTACACAAAGTCCAGGAGATGTCATTCACTGGAGTCCATGGATCTTCTCTCTT